GTTGGGCCATTCCTGCTGGCCAGCTTCCTCCAGCACCTGACGTTTGGTCACCCCAGTGTCCTGGCACCAGTTCAGCCCTGATGCCAGTTGCCTGCTTGAGAGTTTATTCACATAAAATAAAAATTAGAAGATGTAACTGGAGAAAAATCTTTATTTAGCTGTAAATTAATATTAGCAGTGTTTTTTTTTTTTTCCAGGTCGTAGAGTTGCTCTGCAGTAGTGGGTAGGAGACAACTAGTTAAGTCTTCTACAACCTTCTTTGAATAGTATTTGGGTGAGATCCTGTATCTCAAGCCTCATATTGTATTAAATAAAGACCGGGAAGCATCAGTTTTTAGAACACCAAGTTGCAGGTGATTAGTTTAATATTACTCCTAGAATCACAGACATGTTTGTTGCTATATTACCATGTTTTTTATAAAACATTTATTGCATAAGTAACTGAAATCTTTGTTCAATGACTTGTACATATTAAAAAAAAATAATCAGTAAAATACACAAGGTCGATGTGTATTCTTTTTCAGTCAGCTAATGAAGTCGATACAGCTTAGGCTGAATTTGTTTCTTTTTCTGAAGTTTCATCAGTTACAGTTGGCAGAAAAAAAAATACATCTGGATTATGTTCTCCAGACATCAGGAGGAGTGAATCAAAACTCTAGTGCTGGTTATTTATAGCTATTTACAAATATTTTATTTGACAAAAAAAATGTATTCAGAACATGGAAGAGTTTATTTTCTTAACTTCTTTACAAGTTTTATTTTCCTTCATATGCTGTGCTAAGCAAGAATCTTATTCAATTTTCCAAGTTTTCCAGCACATAATAGTTAAATGTTTTTATGTCAATTAATATTGACAGGAAGTCAGTTTGAACAGTGTTGGAAAATGGAAGTCGTTGGCAGAACTGGCTACTTTCACTGAATTTCCTTTTGCTAAAAATATCTCTAAAAGAAGCTCTCCTTTTGAGATACAATGAATGCTTGTTTGCCTGTAGTTTAGACTTGATAATGACTCTTGTCCTTTAACCAAAAGGGCTTGAAAAATATGAATAACCTTTTGAAACATATTTAGCTTTCTCTGTAGTAGATGTAATTGTGCTCATGTCCTCTGAAAGTTTATGCACATGCTTAGCTTGATGTATATGAGTAACTCCATCAGCTTCAGTGATCTGCAATACAAACACAAATTCTGTAGAGTTGTTTATGTGAAGTTGAGCATTTTATTTGTATCTGTGTTGGTGGGATTAAGGAATTCTGTGCGTAGTTGCCTGATTGGGTTTTGTCTCAAAACTTGGTCATTAAGGTATGAAATAGCATGGCTTTAGTCTTCTAACTGAAAGCATACAGCATCAAATATGTATTCTCATTTATATTGCATGCAAATATGTTGAAAAGAATTTTAGATAGGTTTCAGTGGTGAATATTATATGCTACAAAACACTAGAAATACAATGAGTTCCATATAGTTGTTTCAGTCCTGTGGCGCTTCTGCGTTATAAGGACACCATACTGTATTTACAGGACAACTTAGAACGGTTGTTTCACAGATTTGGACAATCTGTTGTGTGTGTGGTGTAGGTCAACATAGTTTAGCTGGGAAGACTTCTTTCTGGTTTGGGCATCTTGTGGAAGCTGGTGATGTGTGCTGACTGAGAGGCTTGTAGGAAGAGGAAGGTTGTCTCAGGAGTTATATACAGGTGGCGGTTGGAAGGGACTTCTGGAGATCATCTAGATCAACCCCACTGCTAAAGCAGCTTCACCTAGAGCAGGTTGCCCAGGATTGCGTCTGGGTGGGTTTTGAAAGTCTCCAGAAGAGACTCCACAACCTCTGCGGGCAGCCTGTTCTGGTGCTGCATCACCCTCTTTCTCCTTATGTTTAGGTGGAACTCACTGTGTTCCAGTTTGACTGTTGCCTCTTGTCCTGTCACTGGGCGCCACTGAAAAGACTGGATTACGGTTCTACCCTGGTTCTTGTACTTGGTGGGGCTTCCCCCCCCCCCCCCAAAATAAAACAAAGAGGGGAAGAAGGGTCAAGAGTAAGGTGCAACACCAGGATGTGAATGTTGCTGTGTGGTAGAGGAGTTTACTGCCTTGTGGAGTCACTGTGTGAAACCTGGCTGGTACCTGCTGAGGGGTGGGACCCTCTGTCATTGGGAATCGCAGCCCTGGTGAGTGGGCAAGGGAAGGGATAGATGCTGGTGTCTTAGGGGTGTCTCAGACTCCAGAGTGGTGAGGCACTTCCAGTCAAGATGTTTTCTTTCATGTGATTCCTCCTGCGTTGGCTTTTACTGTGTTTTGTCTGTTACAGGTCTCATCATAAGTCTTTATTTCTTATAAGTGTAAGTTGTAGACATTCTAGGTATTAGAGATTACTTTATTTGGAAAGAAAGAGGCTAAACCTTCTCAAACTACTTAAAATACATTGTACGGTCCCAGGCAGCAATTAAAATCTTCAGTAAAGAGATAAAAATGACATAGGTCCAGTACATTTACCTGTCAGCCTTTTGCCAGTCTGAACAGGGAGTGTATTTCGAAGGCAAGCTGCACTGTGAACTTGACTCCAGTTCCTGTGTGTTAGAGCAAGGTTGCCTGTGGCTTGCTGGCAAGTTGGCTGCTTCCTGGCATCTTTAACTGTGAGATGATGTTGAATTCTTTGATCATGACCCTTTGTATAGCTCTGGATTGTCTTTATGTTTCAGATGATGTTTTTAATGACTTTTCAATTTTTATCCTTTTGTCTAGGCAAAACATCTTTGTTCTTTACCAGGAAATACAATGTTATACTGGCATATTGAAACAGGGACCCTCCTCCTTTTATCAATGTATTTATTGAGATGCAAGTAAAGTAATTGCAATGAAGACAGTGAAATGCCTGCAGATTATTTGGAGCATTTGCAGGACTGAGCTGCTTTCAGCAGTACTGATCTCCAGCCACCTTTCCTTTCTGAGGTGCTTTCAAAGTGTTCTTCAGCTGCAGTGCACATAAGAAATTAAATGAATCTCTAGGTGGGTCCTAAATTTGATTAAATTGAAGCTCATGAGAGCAACAGCCCTGTGAGTATTTTGCACTTCAGGAGCTTAATGTGGAGCAGTAGCTGTCTGGCACTGCCACATGGTTGAATTTTCTGTGTATTATCAGAATTCAGAAACTGTGTTAGTTCTTGACTCTATGTTACCTTTTATACTGAGAACAAGTCGTTAGGCACTTCAGGCTCCCACCCTTTTAAGCATTTTTGCATTTGGAGTCATTACATTTCCTATTGCTGGAGTTTTACAAGCACATAGATTATACAGTGCTGAGAACAAGTTTTAAAATACAGCGTGGTGAGAGTTGTAGTCTTGAGGATTGGTCAGGTTAATGGAGGGTGTAAAAGCGGGGTGGAAATCTTAAGGATGCAGTGAGGAATTGGCTTGTGCTGCTTTAGAGAACTCTGTGTTGGAGAAACTGCCAAGTTAAAAGCTGTTGCTGCTGCTAGCAGATGGTCATGTCCTTTACAACAGAGTTGTCCAGAACACAGTAACTGGAGGCAGTAGGGTTTTTTGATATTATGGTGTTTGTAGCACAAACTTTGTGACGCTGCAGCAGTAATGAATCGGGGTGGAGGACTGGATGCCACCTCTTAGGGGAAGGTTCTCTTGAGCTTTGTTACTGAGCTTGATTTGTAGCTGAGGTAGAGTTGCTTGCCCTTCTTACCATCCTTAAATAGATTTGTGTTTTTGTTTTTGTTTTTGTTTTTTTTTTTTTTAAAATGTGAAGGAATGTATTGAGCAAAGTGTGCTCCTTTGTGTTCTCTGAGCACATTTATATGTGAAGGCAAGCATACAGAGCATAACTGCAATTAAAAATTGTTACTTGAGGTTGCTAAAAAATGTTTGTATTTCTAGTACTTGCTGATGGCTTAGGTATGCAAAATGATATTTAACTGATTTTGATTATGAGCTTTATGAACTTGTGCAGAAGATGGAATGCCAGGGCAAGAGCAGAGCTCCCGTGGAGATTTTAAGAGTATTTTAACATAGCTCAGATGATTGGGGAAACAAGGTACTCCTCTGGTACCCGAGCTTTATTCATCAGCAAGTGCTGCATAACAAAGGAAAGTTGATTCTAGGCCAAAAGGTAGTACTAACACAGAGACAGGAAATTACCATCATTGCCATTGATTGACTTATTTTCTTCCACAAAGACACATTAAAAATCCTCTCCAGAGTATTCGGAATTATAAAGTTCTTGGGCGTGTCATGTGTTTTGAAGTGAAACATTGAAGCAAAACTACTTTCTATGATATGCGGTGGTTTTGTAAAAATGGAAGTGGGGCTTTATAGGTTTCAGACACCTGTTCACTTATTAGGCTGCATTATAGTCATTGAGGGGGGGAAAATCAAGATACTGTCTAAAGATATGTTATTTCCTACTCTCATGAGAAATTTCTTCATAATTTTGCTTGTCTTGAAGCATAATATTTCTTCTGAGCTTTCTGTTGACTGGTTTATTTTGATAAATAGGTTTGTTTTGTTCCTCTTATTTTAAAACCCCTCCTGTTTGCATCTTCAAAAACATATGAAGCTGGTGACAAGGTTCTGCTCCATGTTAAAAGCAGAGATGTGCGGTTCAGAGATGGTCAGAAGGGAGAACTCAAGGCAATTTGTGTAGTCTGATTAGTATAGTTCTTCTACCATCGTGGGTTTTCTGAGCAATATGTGTAGTATTTTTGTTTTAGCACTGGGTTTTTCGTTGACATTTAAGGAGAAGGACAAATCATTAACCTGAGTTACTGAGCACAGACTTGATGTGGAAACATTCAACGTTTAACTGGAAGTTAAGTTTTACATTACACTAACTTTGGCTTCTCTTCTCTCTGTTACAGAAATACTAATACGGAGCATTTGACCTTCTAGTCTGTACAGCAGAATCTCCTGGTATCAGGATTAGGAAAGAGTGCCTTCAGAAACAATATGTAGCAAATGGGTATCACAACTCTGAAGCTCCTCCCTTGGTTCAGCGATTGCATGTTTTAAGGATCCTTGTCGCCTCAGCAGCGAATTGGGCTTCTGAACTTCAGAAGCGGATTTCATGTGGTGCTTGCTAAACATTGAGTCACCATGAGTAGTAACCTAGGAAAAGAAAAGGACTGTAAAGAGAAGGATCCGAAAGTCCCATCGTCAAAAGAAAGGGAGAAGGAGGCCAAAGCCTCTGGAGGATTTGGGAAAGAGAGCAAAGAAAAGGAGCCTAAGACCAAAGGGAAAGATGCCAAAGATGGAAAGAAGGACTCCAGTGGCACGCAGCCTGGGGTAGCTTTTTCAGTGGACAATACGATAAAAAGACCTAATCCAGCCACAGGTACCCGCAAAAAATCCAGCAATGCTGAAGTGATCAAAGAGCTAAATAAATGCCGGGAGGAGAATTCGATGCGCTTGGACTTGTCCAAGAGGTCTATACACATGCTTCCATCAGCTGTCAAAGAGCTGACGCAGCTAACGGAACTTTACTTGTACAGTAACAAACTGCAGTCCCTCCCGGCGGAGGTGGGCTGTCTCCTGAACCTGGTGACTCTGGCCCTGAGTGAGAACTCGCTCACCAGCTTGCCCGACTCTCTCGATAACCTGAAGAAGCTGCGCATGCTGGACCTGCGGCATAACAAGCTGCGGGAGATCCCCCCGGTGGTGTACCGGCTCGGCTCCCTCGCCACGCTCTACCTGCGCTTTAACCGGATCACTGCTGTGGAAAAGGAGATCAAAAACTTGTCAAAGCTCACCATGCTTAGCATACGAGAGAACAAAATCAAGCAACTACCTGCTGAAATTGGTAAGCCGTTACACTGATTGAATGTCCCATTCTATGCTTATGTTCATTTTTGCAATTCAGTTAAATACACATAAACTGCCACTTCTCCAGCTACCCTTCTTCATTGAAAACTTAAAAAAATTCTGCTCATGATTACACTGCTGCTTCTGTTGCTTATATTATGTTAGCCTATATTGAGAGTAATCACTACCTTGGATATACATGTTTGCCTTTTTTTTTTTTTTAAAACAACAAAACCCCTTTTTTCTCATCTATCATCTTAAAATCAGAGGTATCTTGTTTTCATCTTTGCCTTGTGGTTTCACATATTGTGTATTCAGAGCCCAGATGGTTTTAAAAAAATTAAAAAATGGGCATATTTCATTTTAAGATTTCTTTATAAATCATTTATGAACTGTTGCAAGTTACAGACATATGGGCATGTTACAGAGGGGTGTGACTGGTAATACAAGGTAAAATAGTTAGCTGTGTGCTATTACCATGAGCAAGCTGTTGGATGCTGTAGCAGTTAATAATGGAGGTTAATGATTCGTGAAAGTCTCTACCTTTTTTAAGTCATGAATATATAGACTCTTAGTATAAAGCAACAAAATGTATGCATGGCTGATGTTTTTTTTATGACTTAAAGAATAATATTTGTTTCTCCAAACATTGTTACAAAATTTGAAAGATGGTGGAATACTATGAAAGTTCCTTATTAACTTAAATAGTTTATTACCAAAAATGTGCAGGAATAATTGTATATCAAGAACTAAGTTCTTCCTCATAGATTCTGATTCATGGACAATATCTCTTTATCACTTTGTTCTCAAGCAATATTTGAACAGCGTTATCTGCCTCATTAAAAGTAGATTCTATCATCAGTGTGGTTTTTATTTTTTTTTCTGTGTATCACCAGTTCTTAAAATGCAAGCATAGCCAAGTCCCTTTCGGGGGAGGGGGAACACAAACTTCACACAGTCAAGAAACTACTTTGATATTCTTCAAGTGTGGGGAAAAAAAATACTGTAAAAGCCCTTAAAGCACTGTGAGTTGTAATTCCAATTCCTGTGTCCCATTTTCTAAAAGCTGATGGGGGGCTTCTTCCTGTTAACCAAGCCAGTGTGAGAGTATGTTAAGTGTTACTGAAGTTGGCCCCTGTGCTCACTAATTTCTCAAAGCTTGGGAAATGCTCTGGTTAGGGTCCCTAATAGATACTTTTCAAACCAGCAGTGCTTGCCTCTTTCTCCAGCATCTTGATATGAAAGGTATAAAACATGTTCTTGATGGCAGGAACTCCTGAACATGTCTGAGACTCCTAATCATGTTACCAGCAGTGTCCAGTACAGGCAGACTTCTGTTTGTGATAGTGGGAGTGGAGAAGTGCAGTGAGGCTGTCAGCTGCTGGTCTGTCTTGGGCTCCCTGTAGCAGGTATTGGAATGGATTCTACTATAGCCACAGAAACACTTTTTTGTGTTAGGCAAAAATTAAATGGGTAATGTGGTATGTTTCTGATCAATGTGATTTTTGAGTTGGTTTGAGAATCTCAGCAATGCTGGGAATTTCCCGTGAGGGAACTAAGAAATTATAATTATGACCTGTTTTGATGCTTCAGTTTAAGTCCACTTTTTACTCTACTTTGTATCCAGCAGTTAGTTGTGCTTTTATTTGTATTGTAATAATGCCCATGTTCCTTGTTAGGGGTCAGCACCTCATTGTGGAAGGCATTTTAGAAGGACAAATGCAAGATAACTGTCACCCTTATGAAGAATTTTGAAGGGAGGTCGCTATGTTCAGCAGCATCCTTTTTTAATCAAAGTAAATTTCTCTAAGTTGCCTGTGGTGGAATCTGTGATAGAAATTAATGAAAGCATTTCTAAGTTCAAGTAACAAAAATAATTTTAACTGCCAAGACATACAGGACAGGTGTTTGAAACCTTTTTCCTCAAATAGTAAAGACAGGTGAAATAGTTTAATTTTTGTGATTGACTTCTACTCACTCACTTTCATGCACCTTTGTTCTAGTACAAAGATGAAACGTGTGAGTTGGAAACCTGAAAAATGAAACTGCTGAGAAATGTATTTCTTTCCAATGGAATTTCTCTGTTTCTTTAAGTGCTTCTTTTACCCTACATTTTACATGTGCATTTGAAAAGGAACTTGCCTCTTAAGTCCCCGATTATTTTAATCCCTTGTTTGTTTACAGTGCAGTTCCTAAATACTATATATAAGCAAACACTTATATTATCAGCTTGTAAATAAAACAAATTTTTGTTGCTGAAAAGCGGGAAGTAAAATGAGGCTGTTATCTTTTACAAAGCAATATCATGTGGAGCATTTCAAATTCTTTTTAAAAACACCTCATTGTTCTGAGGCCTAAGGCTCACATAGCTGATAGTAAGCTAGTGTGCTTGTTCATAGTTTTAAAAATTCAAAGCTTATGTAGCTGGCTGACTTGTCCAGCAAGGGGAGAGTCTTGCAGCAGTTAGCTGCAATTTCGTGTTGCTAATCTGGTAAGCAATTCTGTGAAGAATTCTGGGTTTTCTTTACTTTCTCTTTTGGAGGTAGATGTGCTACAAAAGATTGCCCTGGAAAAGAGAGAGGGGGGAAAAAAAAAAGTGAAATCCCAGAGTTCAGTGTGAAAGATGAGATGCTGTTACTGTCACCTCAAAGAGCCAGCACTGAGTGCGATGGAATTAAGGTCTTAAACTGGTGCTAGAACTTGCAATGAGTTTCACTACCATTGGATACAAAATATCAGTTCTGTACAATTATGAAAGGCTTTCCCACTTTAGAACCTTGTTGCTTTAAAATAAAGGGTCACCTGATTTGTAAGCAATCATCCCATTTAGTTATTCTTCTAGGAATCTTTAGTCTCCAGCCTTATAAAGTTTATTTTCCTTATACTCTTGCTGAAAGAAATGGAAAGTAGGTCCCAGAGTCTTAGGTGCTCTGATACTTGAGATCTTTCTTCCAACACTCAATATGTCTATGACTATTTGGTTTTTGTGCCAGGGATCTTGCACTGTTCTTAGATGCAGCAGTTTTCCTCAGTTTCTTACATTTGCTCTCCCACTGTGTGTGCTGCCAGGAGTCATATCTTCTCCCAGCTATGACTGAGACCACAATTTTTAGTCTTTCATAAAATCTTCATTCCTTCTGTCACATTACTATCTTTTTTCCTGTGTTGTCTTATATTTGAGTGGTGAGCATGCTTGATAAGTTTGAATAAATTATTCCAGGTGAGAGCTTCCCTCTTTGTGCTGAAGGTAACTCTGTCCATGCATCTGAATCTTACATATTTTTGTAGGAAAGCGTTAATTCTTTATGCAAAAGTGATGTAAAATTTCACTAATTTTTTTTTTTTTCAAATCCCTTTTGGTCTCTGTTTTCATGCCTTTTTACTTTCATGCCTTTTATTAATGTTTCCTGCAAATTCTGTTCTGCATAGTGTTTAGATGACTGTCAGGTCATTAGAATCTCCCTTTGTTATTAATATTTGTTGGGTTCCTTTAAGGGAAACCTGAAACTCACTCAGTGCCTCAGTGAAGGTAAAACATTTAACAAAATGTTGTTTGTAAACCAGATAGTTGATCAGATTTTAAGTGGTCCTGGAAACTGCTTTAAAACAACTGACCTGTTATGGTGTGTATTTTCTTGAGGAAAACCTAGACGAGATGAAGCTACCAGCAATGAGCTGCATGGAAGTAATCTAAAGTTTAGTTCTATTTTAGGCTTTAAACTGTCTTTAGTAGTTAAACAACAAAAACTTAAATGAGGTGGTTACACTGGGGGAGATGTTTGTTTTAAATGCAAAGCAACATTTTAGTGAGAAAGAGGAAGTGTTATTATCTATAGTTAGTAAACAGAAGTGTGTGATTTTAGTCTTTTTTTTTTTTCCCCCCCCCAGAATGCAGCACCTCTCCTTCTCTTGCATCCAGTTGCTTTATTATAGGTAGGATGATGATAATAAGGTTTCATGTCTTTTCAATATTCAGAAGGCTTCTTAATTTTCAATAATAGTCTAGTCAATTGAATTCAGTAGACCAAAAGATGAAGAAAATATTATCTGTTTTTTGGAAGATAGTCTTTTAGTAACCTGGCAAATTCAGGATTTAGGTACCTACCAAATCATTGCTAGCAGTCCCTTATTGCACTTCCCTGAACACTTTTCCAGCAACATAGATATTGCTTCTACATATTTAATGCAAATGAAGGGATTTTAATAGATTGCATAGCAAGCTGAGGTTTTGATACGCATTGTTGTGTTTTCAAATATAAATAGATTTGTTTGAATAAGTTCTAAAAATACTTTAAAATCCTTTTAACTGAAAATGTATTCTGAGGTTTGGATTTTAAAAAATCCTTTATTTGTTGTTTTTGTTTTGCCAAAATCTGTGTTCTAGAATAGTGGGATTAGGGGGAGTTTTCATGAAATTACAGCTGATACGTAACAGCTTCATGATGCTGAAAGGGGCAATATCCACTCGCCTCCTCGCAGCTTCCCAGCTGGTCACTTCTTCTGCCCGTTTCTTCCAAGCTGTTCCTTGGGGAGCTGATTTATCTCACTAAACAGAAAAATATTAATGGTGTTTCTACTTTTGTAATCTGTTACTTTAGTTGAAATCAGTGAAGTTTCAGATAAGACTGGGATGGGTGTAGGAGGAGTGGGAGAGCATGAACTGGAACAGGGAGAACAGGACTGTCACTTTTGCCTGCACTGAGCTGTTAAATGAGCTTGGCTTATTGCAGCTCAGTTGTGAAACCCCACAGGTAGGATTGCTCATGTTGTATAAAAGCATATGAAGTGCACTGCAAGTGGTTTGAAGAAGGATGGATTACTGTCTGGAGAGAGACATTGAGAATGCATCAGATCATATTTTCAGAATCTTTTTTGCTTTTTCCCTGCTTTCCATGTCTTGCTCCAAAAAACCCTGTATGGCTTATTTGAGTCATGAGAACATCAGCTCAGCTCCACCTTCCACAAGCAATCTTTTGTTACGTTTTTATGTATAGTGGT